TCACTATAATATCTCTGTCCTTTGTAATTGGCCAGTGTGATTACTTTGGTTTCAGTTTTAGAACACTCAATTGAAAACGGCTCTAAGAAAGGTTGATTATTTTCATAGGCATACGGGCACCTTCGGACTTGGGGAAGGGAGTGGCATTATTGTCCAAAAATGCAGTCAAATTGCAGTAAAAACAAAAACATTCACCATTCTCACGTCTAATGAAACTGTTATCATTCGAAAAAAGTTCTTTTGGAACCTCATTTATTCTATTTACCTTGATTGACAACCCGGTAAAATCAGAAACTTATAAAAGAAAAAGTTACTGTCCCTTAAAAAACTTCTAGAGAGGAGGTATCCCTAGTAGTAGTCCCTCTATCACCAGGAGTCCATGGTGGCATGATGGGCTCCTGCTTTCACTTAGTCCATCGAGTTTGTTTTCTGAAATTTGCAGGCGAGGTAAACCATGACCTCTTTAATAGCTAGATGTTGGCTATTTTCTCCAACGGCTTTTTCTTCCTAGGCTAAAGGAGTTATTTTATTTTGTGCTATTTACCATCGCCTGGTACTACCATTGCATCAAAGTTTGTGAGGGCTCAACACTAATGGTAGCCAACTAGCCACAGACTAGTAGAAATTTAGTTTTGGCCAGTAGGTTTTTGATTTCCACTAGCCACTTTGGCTAGTAAACAAAATGAAATTGGCCAAACTAGTTTCTGTCTTCCTCAAAGAAGACATACACTAACACTTTTCTGGCAACAAAATTGATGCTGAAACAAAACAAAAACACTTTTCTCGGAAACAAGGTCAGAATTTCATTGTGGACGTACATTGTATCATGTTTACTTTTCACTGCATNGACTTGGGGAAGGCAGTGGCATTATTGTCCAAAAATGCAGTCAAATTGCAGTAAAAACAAAAACATTCACATTCTCACGTCTAATGAAACTGTTATCATTCCAAAAAAGTTCTTTTGAAACCTCGCTTATTCTATTTACCTTGATTGATAACCCAGTAAAATCAGAAACTTATAAAAGAAAAAGTTATTGTCCCTTAAAAAAACTTCTAGAGAGGAGGTATCCCTAGTAGTAGTCCCTCTATCACCAGGAGTCCATGGTGGCATGATGGGCCCCTGCTTTCACTAAGTCCGTCGAGTTTGTTTTCTGAACTTTGCAGGCGAGGTAAACCATGACCTCTTTGATAGCTAGTTGTTGGCTATTCTCTCCAACGACTTTTTCTTCCTAGGCTAAAGGAGTTATTTTATTTTGTGCTATTTACCATCGCCTGGTACTACCATAATGTGTCAAAGTTTGTGAGTTGAAGTTTGCATTTTGATTGACAAGTACATAATTATCATGCCATTCTATAGCAAATTTCTTGAATTTCAAAGTACTTTGGGAACCGTTTGTCACAATTGTTGTGAAATACACTGGCCAAACATTAGTAACATTCACTAGCTAATCAAGTTTGTAGCTAACTGAGGTATCAGTCTCAGGGCTCAACACTAATGGTAGCCAACTAGCCACAGACTGGTAGAAATTTAGTTTTGGCCAGTAGGTTTTTGATTTCCACTAGCCACTTTGGCTAGTAAACAAAATGAAATTGGCCAAACTTAAGTTTCTGTCTTCCTCAAAGAAGACAAACACTAACACTTTTCTTGGAAAAAAATTGATGCTGAAACAAAAAAAAACACTTTTCTCGGAAACAAGGTCAGAATTTCATTGTGGACGTACATTGTATCATGTTTACTTTTCACTGCATGGTACTTGAAAGGGTATAAAAACTGAACATGTCATTATATTGAAAGAAATATTTGACAAACAAGACAGCATTTAAGCACACAACAGTGTTCTTTTTTTTGTTACAAAATTAGTGGAACAAAACATGAGCATCCTGACAAAATCATTTGCAAAATCATGCAGAACTGTAAAGGGAGAACATTTCATTTAGCCTAACAACACATAGGTGATTTGTCATTGTGTCCATACTGACAAAACTTACCACTGCAGAAATAATTACATGAGAAAGATTTATTTCCTT